GTTCCAAATCAGAGCTTTAATCATTAATAACTATGTTAGAAGCTCTAGTGACCCGAGGGGTTTCATTAGGAACAACCTTTTTGTTTTTGCCTTTCTTTTTAGACTGAACTATGAAGTCATCCTCCACTTTCTTACCCTTATAGTTAGGATCAGACACAGAATTACCATTAAATTTGCACAGATTGTCCACGGGTAGGATAATTTCGATAGAGCCAATTTCCCCTTCTTCCAGAAAATCACCCTCCATGTCCTCCAAGTTTGAATCCTTTTCATTAGATTTATTTCCATATTGAACACGGGAAGTATCAATAGCATTAGTAACATTAGTAAAATGGCAAGGGTCACGGTTATCATCCCCCAAAGGACTTTTATTCATAGGGGAAGGAATAACTTCCTCTCTTCGGTCCTCAACCACAATATTTTCATTATCAACATTATTGAATTCCTCAATAACCTCCTCCATTCCTTTGTTACTGATTGTTCCATCCTCCTTATTATTTTCCAAGGAATCCGTGATATCGTTATTTGTACCTAAAGAGGTAGACTCTGTGTCTTCATCCTTATTATAAGGCTCAGAAATCAGAGGATTCACCTCACCCTCCAAAACCACATTGGTACCCAAAACTTTCTTATCACCACCGATCGGAACATACACTTTTTGGACTCCCACATTGTTCTTTTTGAGATGGGGGTGAGCAACAAAGCAATCTTGGATAGCATGACCATGAATCTTACAATGTAAACAGAAATCTGGGACTTTTTCAAAATCAACCTTCTGTAAATACCCACAATTTTCAGATCCAATCCATATATCTTTAGGGTGTTTCTTAGTGATATCGATTTCCACAAGAACCCTAGCAACCGAGGGTCTTGACCGATTCGCAGTAGCTTGATCAGTTTGCAGGGGACGACCGAAGATGGAGCCTAATGCATGTAGAACATGAGTATTAAAAAAATGCAGTCGTAAATTAGGAAATGAGATCCATATAGGAACAATGGGTGATTCCTCTTTCACATCAAAAAAAGGAGTCCATTTTAATAATCTCATTTGGCAATTTAAAATATAGTAAGATCTTCTAGAAAAAACACGACTGTAATCAAGATCATTCGTTAGCTGTATGGAAACATGTCTGGCATCAAGAAGTCCAATAGAAAAATTCCCAGATAGCTTAAGTTTGGAAAAAAAATTTCTAATCGCATCAAGGTTCGGCCGCCTCACAGAGAACTTACCAACCAGAGTAAATTGATACGGACTAGCCAGTTTCAAAATATCCTCTTCCGACATAAGAAGAGCCGGAACTCCTTTAACAAGAGATTTAGTGAACGATATTACCGGAGTTTTAGCAGTAGAAGATCCCGCCAGAACATCTCTAAAGGAACGAGATGTCGGAGCAGAGACAGAAGATCCAGCCACACCAGCTGCCTGGGTACCCGTGGTTGAAGGCGGAGCACCCCACACATCCGGTGTCGGGGAAGACGAACTCTTCTCCATAAGGAGAAGAGAAAGCCAAAAGTCAGAGCAGAAGAGAGAAACCTTTTCAAAAGAGACGAAAAGGGAGGAGGATCGCCGGAGAAATGATCGGGAAGCGAAAAAGCAGAGGAGCCACAAAATCGCCTAGAAAATCGCCAGAGCACAAAAAAAATGTTGTTTTAAAAAAAAACAGACGGTTCATGAACCGCCTGTAATGGGCATTTTTCCTGTAGTGAGTTTATTAATATTGATTATTGTTAAATTATATAAAACTTCTTAGCAACAATCGTCTTTATTTAAAAGATAAACTATGCTAGTTGCTAAGAATTACTTTTTAGTTTATAGTCATAATATTTTAAGGCCCTCTCCAACCGAATGCGAAACGCAAGTGTTTGTCGTCCGCTGCGAGCTCCAACCGAACGTTAGATTCAACGGCATTTTTGCAAGGTGAACAGAGCGACAACAATATTGACGTCGCCTTATTCACAAATAACATTTTTTTAAGAATTGATAAATATAAATGCATGATTAAAAATAAATATAAAAAAATATATGAGAAAGAATATACACAAAATATTATTTTTTGATGTTAGGAAAAGGAGTTCGATAGGAGATGAATTAATGCATTTTGAAATGAAAAATGAGTTCTTCGGTTGAAGATGCCCAAAGAAGATATGATTGAAAATCAATATTTAATCATAACTTATAGAAAATATGACTGCTTTACAAATAAATTTATAAGAAAGGTTATGTCTCTTGTTCATTGCATATCATCTCAGTTTTTTTTTAATGGCTTTTTTAGTACTATTTTTTAAAATAATTTTTTAGTACAAAAATTTGTTAAACTATAAATTTTGCACCTGAAAATTGTTTTAAAAATCAATAAAAAAATTGTCCCAAACGAAACCAAAATCAATGACTAAGAAGTTTGAGATCGACTGAAGAATTTGATCAGCTGATAAATTTTTGTCTTTGAATATTGTCTAACAAATTTAATATATAAAAGCATTCATAGTGTTTAAAGATGATGATGACACAAGTGATTAAGTTAAGATGAAAGTGGATGACCAAGTGTGCTTTGTTAATTAGGTTTTGACAAATGTCTTGTAGAAGTTGGTTGTGGAATGTTTATAGTTCAATCTGGAATAATTATTAATGACCAAAAGGCCTCTCATATAGTCTTTATAGGAAACAAATGCTAGCTGAATTTGTCAAATGACTTGAATTATTTTTTGGGGCATGAATGACAAAGTTCATTTTTGTTATAATTTTGTTGTTTACTTTATCTGATGAATATTTTTGTGGCATCTTTTTGTATGTATAATACATTTTTTTAAAGATGTGATTTTTAAGCTCAATCAATAATGCTGATACAAAAAAAAAAAGATTAAGGGATTGTTGTAAGAGCAAGACTAATGAATAAAGATTCTAACTCTAAAGATAAGTATTTTGAGATGAACAAGACCTGTTATTACAAGAATATTACCATATTAAAAGAGAGATATAGCATGATAGCTTTGAAGAACAAAGAATTACATTCATCTGATAACCACTAAAAGAATAAGGCTTCATTTGAGACAGTTTTCTAATTGCTACTTAAAGCAGCTTCTTTGTACTAAAAAGCTATTTAAAAAGAAGTAAGCAAGCCGTCCCAAGCGAAACTTAAAACAAAACAGGACAAATACAACTCATATATATTATGATGATGTTCTTTCTGTGATTGCAAATTATTGATGCATAATCAATGGGCACTTGACTTAACAAATTTATTGTTATATATGTTAGGACAAGTTAGTTTGTTAAAATTTTAAACCATATGGTGTGTATATGAGAAATAATGGTATGTGTAAGATTATACATACATTTACATATTATTTGTGTTAAGATACATAATGCTGCATCTAATTAAGATTTTGAATGAGATGATATATATCTAATGATAAATTTAAGATGTTTGGATGTTCTAAGTGTTGCATGTTTCTGTTTTTTTGGTAAGATCCTCTAATTTTGAGGGGTTCTATAACTATTATAGAAGTTATGTATGTTTTGCATAATGCCTTGTCTATATTGTTGTTTGTGTTGTGGCATCATATTTTGGGGAATTAACGAATGTTAGCTTATATGCTACAAGAAATGTTCATAAATAAATTTATGAATTGAACGAGTAGATTGGAAGATTCTGTTAGGAAATTGTGAGGAATTCTTGAGAGCTTCTTGAGCTTTGCTTGAAAGAGAGAGAAAGGGAGAGGGAGGTGAGAGAGATAGACATAATTTGGAGGAGAAAAATCTAATCTAAAGCTTTATTCAAAATTTCCTCAAAACTTGAGTATGTTTTTATATTTTCTATTAGCTTTTGGTGTTCTTTTCTTTAGTTTCTGGTATGGCTTATTATGTAACCATTTTTTGTCTATATATAAATTCTATAGGTTGTAATTAGTTGGATGGTCAAGCAATAAAGAACCTGATTCAGCTCTCTCCCTATTTCCTTCCCTCTCTCTATCCTCTTCTCTTCCAAGAAGCTCAAGAAAGCTTCCTTCTGACCACCCAAAAAATTCCAACAGATTCTTAGTGATTTTGATGAACTAAATTTATATTGCGCAGTCTATCCTGATGCTATTGTAATATTCACAACAAAGAGAAGGCTACATCATGAGTACAGACTTCTGCAACAACATAACACACATTCATATCAAGTGGACTTCAAAATACTTATGCAAGCCACAAAGATCTCATGAGAGGATTCAGTTCTTGTAGACTTGAAGTCTAATGAGACTTCAAAGCTGTAATGAGCCCTTCTGATCAGCCTTAGAAAGTTAAAGTACTCACCTTCTGAGACCTTTGCAAGCTGGATAAATTATTATGTGCCGATGCCGAATGCATTCGTACGAGAATGAGGAGGCGCTGCATCACTCAATACACAGTACATTGCATGACGCGGCACCTCCTCATTCGCATCCAATACGTTTAGCGGCAGCCCGTAATAATCTCTCAGTCATCAGCCATCCTAACTTCTAGGCAAACTTAACTAAGGGGCGCGGGCGCAGGAAGATCACATGAAGGTGCATGGGCTACTGTTAAACAATTTAATGGCATGAAACAAAAAAAAAAAAAGTGTAGCAGTAGAAAGTTTATTTACATTGCTAGCTAGAAACCTATAACAACATAAATAAATAAACATTTCTCCACATCAATTAGGCATTAAAAAAAGGTACAGCCTTCATAAGTTGAAAAGAGAGCGAGACAATGCTGCATGGACCCAAGAGACAAAGACGTAACTGATCAGAACCTGACAGTTCATTAGAGAAGGTGAAAACTGTTTTTCACACTTCTCCTGACTCGTCGGTGCAGGTTTATAACCTACGGTAGATAATTAATTAAGTTCCCATCTAATTACATTCTCTTCCTTACTAATCATTAACAGTCATTTTACTTTAAATTTTTTGTGTTAATCTCCAACGTCTTCATTAGCTGATAGATTTAGATAGAATCAAGAACTGAATTTTACTCTTTTAATTACCTATACGAGGGGTTATTAGGGGAAATAAGACTAGCTTTTAACATAAAAAACGCCCAAATTACACAGCATTTCAGCAGAGATCGATACATATAGACATATATGGAAGATACATGCATGCTTAAGAAAAAATATTTATGAAAACAAAATTATGTCAAAAGATATAGATTATAATACGATGAGCTTGAAAATTTTTAAATTTTTTTTTTAGATTATTAATGATAGTAAATGAAGAATTTGTTTTACACAAATCTTAATAGAAATTTAATAATTTTCAAGCTCATGCATATATAAGTACATGTGGACATAATTTTTCTTCATATTTATGTATGTATGTATATATATGTATACATACATGATACCAGTTAAACGAGATCCTGATCAACCTCACCAATATCAGAGTGTCCAGCCGTAGAGCCCGTCGCCGGCGATCACCGGCGTCTCAAACACCACCGACTCCATAAAAACCTCACCGTAATCTTCCACACTTTCAAACCTCTCACCATACAACTCAAAACGATCACCATCTCCATAACCACTTTCTGCCTTGAAATCCGGCGGCGGAAAGTCAAAGATTCCAGCTTGGTCTAACCCGCCGCCTGCGAGCAGATCAAGAGGGCTGTAGCTGTCGCAAACGCGGCCCACCGTGGCCGCCGGAGGATGGCCTGCCAGTAAGTCGGCGATGTGAGAGTCTCTGCCGGTGAGTTCCTGTACGAGAGCTCGGAAATCAGCAACAGTAGTTGTGACTCTCACGGGATTGGAGAAGTGAACCACTTTAATTTTCTGCTGATTCATCTTCTTCTTCTTCGTCGGCTCGATCTTAGTTTGCTTTAAGAGATTTTGATGAGCTGGTCTTGAGGTGTGATCCATGGCGGCGATAAGTTGGAGGTGGCGATAATTAGGGGTAAAGGTGATGTTTTTATATGGAAAGATCTTTCCTTTTTCTAAGATTGGAAAGGAGAAAGAGTTTGGTTTCCAGGAAGGCAGAGAGAGATGTGGAAGAAAGAGGGGATAATTAATAGCAGTGGCTTTTTTTAAGGGAGAATAATTCTAGAGGGAAAGGGCTCAAAAGAAAGTATTCGGATCCTATCCAATTATTATCTTAGTTTTGTACCGTGCAATGAGTCATATTTTAGCTGGAATGGTTTAATTACTTCAAATAATTTAAAATGTCTAAAATGTGGAGAAAAATACTGTTCATAAAATTTTAGCCACACATTACAATTGAAGTTATATCATTTATTTTTTTTATTAAATTAATGCGTGAGTTGTATCTAATTAAGTTTTTTTATATAAAAATATTAAAAATAATAAAAAATTGAGCTCTTGCGTATTTCCCTTTATAGGAAAGAGTCACCACCACTAATTGAACTATTAGAGTGAATGAATGATTCTAATTACTTCAACTGATGAAAAAAAAAGAAGTAATGATATCCTAACGATTGATTTTAGCCAAGAAAAAGGTAGTCAGACTGAAATAATTATGGTTATGAGGTTTAATAAATATTTTTTGTATTTATTATAATCTTATAATTTATATTAATGAGGTTCAAAAACTTGTTTAGTACTTTTAGTTGACTTCTTAATTTTCTGATTAAGGATTCAATAATTTTCTGATTTATGTTCATGCATTGATATATCATCAAAAAATTATATTGACTGAGCATGAATTTCAAGGCAAAGTTGAATAGAAAATTTTCAAAATTAATTATGGGAACATTCAAACTCAGGTTTTAGCAAACTTATAGTTGTAGAAAAGACGAACCCAACGACACCAAATACGTTGCAATCCAAGCTAGCACATATGGGTTCAAATCAAGGGCATGAAGCACGTTTGGAAGCTTCAAAGAAAATTGAATAATTAAATTATATCCAATTATTGCATGTTTATAATTGAATCGAGCAGCTCAACTAGACGAATCAAAAGAGCCCAAGAGTATTGAATTCTGACATCATTAAGGCATTCAAATGTTTAATAAAAGTTCCATGATCAAGAGAGTCTATATCACTCGTCCATCCGAAATACTCCCAACAAGCCCTTAATCTTTTCCCTATTAACTATCCATGACACTCTCAAAATATTATAAATAGACCCCTCATTCTTCACAAAAGGGAGAAGGAAAATAGAAAAGAAAGGAGAGGAAGAATGAAGAAAAATATGAGATATCTATTGCCATGCACCAAGTTCCTCCTCGATCAGTGCCCGACCAACAGCCATTGCCAGACGTCTGCCAACACACCAACCGTCTCCAATCCTCTGCCTGGCCACCAACAGATGTAGAACTTCCTCCCAGCCACCAGCCGTTGCCGAACCACCAACCGACGCAGGACTCTCGCATGGTTACAAACCGTCGCTAGTTTTTTTCCAGGCCACCGGCCAGAGCACCAACTGACCACCAATGGACGTCAGACTTTCGCTTGACCACGGATCAACATCGGACTTTCGCTCGACCACAGACCGACGCTGACTTCCACCTGGCCACCAACAGACAACAGACTTCCCCCGACAGCCAAATGACACCTGACTTTTTCCCGACCATCGACCTACGCCAAACTTTTGCACGGTCACAAACCGGCGGCGGATTTCTCCCAGCTAGTGGATCGACTTTAGACTTTTCGCCCGACTAAATTAATTTTTTTTTAAAATTTTCTTCAACTATTTACATCTGGGGTTGGGATCGGTATAGGTAGTTTCAAATTTTTCTTCAAATTATTATTTAAGAAGGTATAATATTAAATATAAAATAAAAATAATTTATATTTTATAACGCCAATTCTTCATATTTTGAAAGAGTTGTTGTTATATTCTAAAAGATTAAGTTGAAATCAACATTGCCTCAATCTGTTTATCGTTGTCGTCTCACTCATCTATGTCTAGTTCGAGAGCAAGTATGCCGACTAGTAGAGAGGTGAGAGCGATCTCCATCATACCGTCTGGGTCGAGGCAAAGAGCAGGCTATGCTATCTTTATGATGAAGTTGAAGCTCTCAACCACAAGATTAAGACTTCATTTGGGACAACTTTCATATTGCTTTCTAAAAAGGCTTTTAAGCACAAAAATTTCAAATTCAAATTTTTTTTATTAAAAGACTGTTTTAGAAAGCAAAAAAGAAAGCCGTCCCAAACAAAGCCTAATATATACTTCATTTGGGAGTGCTTTCTTACTTCTTGTTAAAGCGGTTTTTTAGAAAAAAAAAATAATAAAAAAAGATAGTAAAAAAGCTATATCCCAAATAAATCTAAGCTAGTGCATACATCTAGCGCTCTTTAATCTGTCATCATAATTCTTGTTTACTATTATATTTTCAGGTGGAAGAAGCTTTACTTGTAAAAAATATTTTATCAACGTCGACCGAACTTTACATAACTATTCAAATATGCGACCCTTCTTAATATTTATGTATCAACTCATTAGGATACGTTCAGAAAGGTCAAACCCATAACTACACGTCCTGTAAAAGGTTTCATGACACATAAATCAATGAGCCCAACATATAATTCAGTCTAAACTATGAAATTAGACTGAATCAAAATACAATAAATTATATTTGCTCAAAATTGCAACAGGTAGCGACCAGCAACTAACTATATATTGCTTGATATTGATTTTTTTTAAGAAGACCAATTGAAATAGATCCTAAAATCCTTGTATCATTGAATAATTTTAGGACCTCTCCATATTAATCATGATCATATAAAGAGAACATTAATTGTCAATCAAATCATATTCAAAATGTTTAACAAAGAAATTACTTCTAGATTTTGAAAAAAAGAAAGAAGGCTTGATATTAGAGAACGTTAACTTTTTTAATGTCAATAGATGATAAGGGTGATTAATTTTGACATAAAATATTGAGAAAAAAACTTAGGCATGCCTTGATGTGAGGAGGATTTATGCTATTCAAAATTTGGGATACATACCCATTACATAAGCATAGAAGTACTGGACATCAATAAATTATCTTATTCTGCTTAAAATGTTTTACATTTATTTAACATATCATAATTTTTTAATGTAAAGAACATTACCTTTTAATTTGATTATGTCGCAATTAAAAAAATATAAAATTATATTTCAAATCATAAAATCTATATTTTAGCTAACACCAATCTATCTTACTTAAGCAATAATATTAAATTAAATTGGTCTAACTTTCACACCAAAAATAACATCAAAATTAAAATAAATATTTAATATGTCCATTTATTTAAAGATAAATGCATTGCTTTAGAAATAAAACTAATAAACATGAAACATAAATACAAATCTTTCACGGTCCAAGAAAACTATTGATGCTGACAAGATCCAACGGCTCTGAGCAAGTTTGTATAATATTTTGTTCACATGTTCATTGTTTAGGATATTTATTACTCGGCGGGAAAATAAATAATGGGAGAGGACGAACGACGTCATGCGTGGAGCCCACAGTGACGTCATGCTGATATGACTGTATGTGAATTGTGATAAGTTTGTCGACCGAGCGGTTCGGCAATCATAATAAATAATTAATCATAATTAATTAATTAATTAAAATATCACGTGATCACGTGACTTTGGGAATAGTGTTAGAAGTCTCCTGGACTCCGAACAAAGACTTTTTCTTTTTGGGCACGTGCGATTAAGAAAATTTATTTTGTATTTAAATAAAAGTTTATTTTTAAATCAGAATATGAGATAATGGTCAACATATGTGATTCATTCTCCCTTTTGGTGGCCATTTATGTTTTTTTTTTTTATTATATTCAATAATGCTATTTGGTTCAATTGTTTTGCCTAATTTTGTGAATGACTCATAGCAAATTCAAAATTAATGAACCTCTCAAATTAAAATAATTCCATTTTTTATAAATTAAATATTATAGGGGTATATTTTCTCATAATTTAAGCCTTCATTAATAAAATTATATACTTGCATATGTCATCAATTCAAAAGTACTTTAGCAGGTAACCGTCGAGTTATAAAAAAGTAATTTGAGATCACGCTTAACTCGCCTCAAAGGGGAGCTTACAATAGTAACTCTCATAATAATTCGAGAGTCACTACTGGCCTGAAACCCATAGAATAACTCCCACTTTTATGGGATAAATCGAGAATTCCTTATCAAACTAGCTATTCGACAACTACCACGTATCTGGATCGGCATCTTAGTTGTCACTCGCACAGTCCTGGAATGATCATTCTAATGCAAGCTAACCAAACTCAACTTCCTAGTGTGATTTAAATGTTTGATCAAGCTAACCTAATATGAAATTCATTAAACATCTTCCTTGCGAGTTATGTTGGCCACCTTCTCAAACAATAATTTACTATGATATAAAAATATATATGATAATGTAACCATCACGTTCATTATGATCTCATCAAGAGGTTATCCTTCTTTATCAATGCTAGCACAATGACCTCATTCAATCATCAATATGCTACTTTAATTTATTAAATGAGGACAACACTGCAAAAGATGAAAAAAAGAAGAAGTAATTGACATATTGATGATTGAGGGAGAGCCAACCATTCAAAATTTTTACTCAATTCTTCTTACCAAGGTAACCTTTTCTCACAACTCATAGCTCTTTCACATTATAACTTACATATCTTTACATGAGATTTCATCTTTGATGCTTGAAGTAGACCCCAATATCACCATTCATATGTTGAACACTATCCAATCAATTTGGCTCTAAAATAAAAAATAAGTTTTATTTGAGGAGATTATGGTAGCGATTAAGAAATAAATAGATAAACCCGTCAATGCATGATTCATTCAAAAAGTATAATACCGTGAGTTGATTTCCAATACTATGATGGTCAATTGATAAAATGATAAATAAAGGATAACAAGTAGACTACAAGATCAATAAAATAAGTCTAATGGATTCCATTACAATTATAATGGTCAATACAAGCTCCTCTTGACAAAGAGAGTTTGGAAAGGGTTTCGACCGATCTACATGTTAACAAGTTAGATGTTGGCAAGAGGTTATTGTCACTCTGCGGTCTTTTTTATTGTTTCTTAAAGCAACTTTTTAGTATAAAAATTTAAATTTTTATACTAAAAAATTATTTTAAGAAGCAGTAAGAAAGTCATCCCAAATGAAGCCTTAGTTCATTCAATTTAAATGAAAACGTGCATAAATTTATTAAAAATGTAAAATAAATGACTTAGAAATAAATTTTTATGTCCCCAAAATTCAATTTTGAATTATTTTAGGGCTCGAAAAAGTGTTCAAAATTTTGAGTTTATCCGATTAATTTTGCAAGCCGTGTTGAGATTAATGATTATTGTTGATTTGAAAACAATATTGAACCAATCGATTTCGGAATGAATTTAACTAACTATCAAGCTACTAATTAATTATTAAGATTCATTAATAATGCAGGCAACTAGTTGTTTTTACTTGGAAATAATGATTATAAGAGCCCAAATAAATGATTAAGATATCATTACTTTGAAAGTATTTTTTGTCCTATACATGCATCATGACTAAGTGATTTCAACACTACATCGCCATCGCAGCTCCAGCCAATTTGGACGGTGTGGGGAAGGCAATCAACTCAATGGGCGGTTAAATAATAAAATTGATAAGATAAACTATATAAATCAACAAGATAGGGGCGGCTAAGAGAAGGGGTGTCAAAATGAATTTTTGGGACGTCGGGTTCGTGCCCAATCTAAAACTGACCCGCCCTCGACTATTCCAATCCGAACCCAGCCCGATTACACAAACTAGTTTGAAATATAAACCCGGATCTGACCCTCCCCAAATTCGGTTCGACTCGACCCAACATGCGGACTCGGGTGAGCCCAGAGAAGACAATGTTGAGCACGTTTGGGCGGGACATGATAACGCGTTGCAGGCTTGAGCGGGATGTGTACGGGTAGGAGCACCGCTTGGCAGGACACACTGCGGGTTGATGCGGTCACGTAGATGTAATACGGGCAAGAGCGGGAGGGGTGCGGTGTGGGCTGAGGGGATCACGGGAACACGATGTCGCCAGACTTTGCTCCCTCCGACTATCACGTCCCAAAATCTAAATTTATATGAAGATTTGTATCTTTTCAGTTTAATAAGATCTAATTTTTCTAATTCGGATCTTGGGATGTGACACTACGGTCTCTCTGACTTTTGTCGCCCGACTATGATTGAAAGATCCTCTCAAGAGGAAGAGAACAGAGATTGAAACAGAGGAAGAAATGTATATATCTATAATACGGTAGAGTTACAAGTATTTATAGAGGAGGAGAGGTAAAACAATAAATGCATATTAGTGAAGAATAAGGTAAAGTGAACCGTATGCTCACATCCTCCCGCAAATTAATCATTCGGTTTATGAATGGTTAATTTGGAGCGGAGAAAGTTGTATCGAGTACAGGAGAACGGTTTGGTGAGGATGTCATCGATCTGGTCTTGAGAAGGAATGTGCTGAATGGTAATGTTGCCGTCAAAGATGTGCTGCTGGATGAATTGTTAGTCAATTTCGATGTGCTTGGTCCTACCGTGAAAGACAGGATTCTTGGCAATGGCAATGGCGGAGATATTGTCGCAGTATATGGTTGTTGGTATGTTTTGTTCAAGTCGCAATTTAGCGGAAAGATGGCGAAGCCAGATTGTTTCGGAAGTAGCAGCTGACAAGGCCCTGTATTCTGCTTCGGTGGATGATTTTGCAACTGTTACTTGTTCCTTGATGAACCAAGATATTAAATTTGGACCCATGAATGTGAAGTGACCGGTGATTGATTTTCGATCAGAGGTGTCGGATGCCCAGTCTGCATCAGTGTATGTGCAAAGTTGAGAATCACCGGGTATTATAGGAAGCCCGTGATGCTTGGTGCCTTTGACGTATCTTAGGATACGTTTGAGACTTTGGAAGTCCTGAACCGTAGGTTGATGCATGTGTTGACATGCCTGATTTGTGGTGAAGGCAATGTCGGTTCTGATAATTGTTAAGTATTGGAGCGAACCGGTGAGACGACGATAGAGGGACGGATCTTGAAAAGACTACGAGTTGGTCTGTTTATGAGAGGAGGCAGGAGCGATAGGTGTCGGTGATGATTTACATTGATCAAAGCCAGCTTCTTGGATGATTTGCATTTCCACATAAACAATGTGATGTCTCTTATGACTCTTACACTTATCTCTTTTTTATCTGTATGTGAGTTAAATTTTCGTCAAAAACTAAGACATTAAACATTTATCTCCATACCGCCGTGACTATTCTAGCATGTAAATAGTATTTTAGGAAAACCTATTAGATCAAATTCAAATTTGAATATATATATATATATATAATGATTTTGAGTCATCTCAAAATTGATCCATTTATTTTGGGTTGAATCAGATCAACCCAAACTATAATTCATGCTCAAACTAATTTTGAATTGAAAGTGCTCAGATGGCACTTGAAAGTTTGTTAGGGATGTTAGGCCCTATAGAACTGGCCCAAGGCTAATTAAAAGAGAGAGGTGAATTAGAAAACTTTA